TGGGTAAGGATTCGACCCACGTGGAGGCGGAGTGGCACATGATGGCTGCCTTGAGTTGTCTGTGGAAACGTTCCACCATGCCAGTTGCGCACGGGTGGTAACTTGTTGTCCTTAATCTTGAAAATCCACACAATTTTCCCAACTCAGCAAAGAGTGCAGATTCAAATTGTTTACCCTGGTCCGTTGTTATTCGCAAGGGAACACCATACCTTGATATCCAAAAATTGAAAAGAGCTGACGAGACTTCTTCGGCAGAGATACCTTGCAAGGGGTGTGCTTCCGGCCATCTGGTGAACCTATCTACTACTGTAAGACAGTAACGAAGATTTCCAACTTGGGGTAATGGGCCGATGATATCCACATGAATATGTTCAAATCTACAATTTGGCAAAGGGAAATCGTTGATAGGTGTTTGAACATGACGAGTAATTTTTGAACGTTGACACTCTCGACAGGACAAGGTCCACTCTTTACAATCACGATTTATTGAAGGCCAAACATATCTTGAAGTTAACATTTTATTCATGGATTTTATCCCAGGGTGACTTAAGTTATGGATTGAATTAAACGCCTCTCTGCGTAAACATTTGGGGATATACAATCGTTCACTACCGTTCTTTGTATCGCAGTAGACAAAAACATCAGAGCCAGGAACTGGAACTGGTTGAAGACAAAGTGAAGTACTGTTTTCGAGAATAGACTTAAGTTCCCCATCATTAGATTGAGAATCTGCCAAGAGATGCAGATCAATTTTACTAGTCTTGTTGGCAGAAATAGATTCTATCCTAGAAAAACTGTCTGCTACTATGTTTGAAGCACCAGAAACATGTTGAATGTCAGTCGTGAACTGTGAGATAAATGAGAGATGGTTAGTTTGAACAGGAGGTAGTTTGTCCTTCTTTTGTTGAAAAACGAAAATGATGGGCTTGTGATCAGTATAGACAGTACAGGAGTTAGCTTCTAATATATGTCTGAAATGTTTAACAGACGAATAGATGGCAAACAATTCCCTATAATAAGCGGGCCAACTGGCTTGCTTAGGTGTTAGTTTTTGGGAAAAGAAGGACAGAGGTTCCCATATTCCATCTTGATTCAATTGTTGTAGTACTAATCCTACTGCAGTATTCGATGCATCACAAAAAAGTGCTAATTTACCATTAGCGTTGGGGTGACAAAGTAATGTAGCTTCGGCTAAATGATCCTTCCATTTACTGAATTTTTCAGTCAATACATCGGTCCAAGAGACTTTCTGATTCCCTTTTAATGACGAAAGGACAGTGTGGAGAGGGGCTTGAAATTCTGCAGCGTGAGGAATAAACCTGCGGTAAAAGTTCAACATTCCCAAAAATCGCCTAAGACCTTTGGCAGTTTGTGGCAAAGGATAATTCTGAAGGGCGTCAATGCGATCAGGCACAGGCCTGGTTCCGTCAGCGGTTACTTGATATCCCAAAAAAACTACTGAGTCAGTGTTAAATACAGATTTCTTCACATTTATAAGGACGCCATATTTGACTAACCTCTTGAACAGAATACGGAGGTGTTCTTCGTGCTCGACAGGATCTTTTGAGAAAACAAGGATATCGTCAATGTAGGGGAAACAAAAACTTAGTCCCTCTACGACTTCATCAATAAACCTTTGAAAAGTTTGACCAGCATTCCTCAAACCGAAAGACATGAACGGGAACTCAAAGAGACCGAATGGGGTCGTTATTGCAGTCTTGGGCACGTCTTCTTTATTAACCGGGATTTGGGTATATGCCTTTACAAGATCTATCACAGTGAAAACTTTACTACCGTGTAAACAATTTGAGAAATCATGGATATGTCGAACAGGGTAAGAATCTGGAATAGTGCGGGCATTCAATGCTCGGTAATCGCCACATGGTCGCCACTCATCATTCTTTTTAGGTACCATATGAAGTGGTGATGACCATGGGCTTTTGGAACGACACGCAGTTCCATTTGCTACCATGGATTCAAACTCTAATTTGGCAATTTTATATTTATCTGGAGCTAACCTTCTTGGTCTTGATGAGACTGGTGGGCCAGGAGTCGTATTTATGTAATGCACTGTGTTATGAGGAATAAATCTTGGTACTCCTAAAGGTTTTGTGATTTCTGGAAATTCCAATAACAGTAGATAGTTTGATGGGTCGGAAGTAATTAATTTAATACTATATTGCTGAGTATTCATGAACTGACATTTACTTTTTAATTGTGTAATGTTGTCAATTAAGAAACCGTTACTACAATCAGGTAATAAAGAATAGTGAGCTAGGAAGTCAGAACCAATGATTGGAGTGCTTACTTTAGCTATTATGAAATTCCAGACTAGAGTTCTTTGTAGACCAATATTTAAGTTGAGACATAAACTACCATAAGTGGGTATTTCAGAGTTATTTGCAGCTCTGAGTTCTATCCCGGATGGTTTTAAGGGTCTTTTGACTAAATTTAGTGGTATACAACTTACGTCTGAACCTGTGTCTATCAGAAACTTATAGCCTGAATTGTTATCAATTACTTGTAACCTGTTGCTGTGGTTGCTGTCAACTCCGGGTGATTCATGAGTTTGGCGTCTAGGCACATGACAACTAGTCGACACCGCATCTAGTTGCCTAGCTCGTTTTTTGTAGAAGGATAAGTGCAAGGAGTCACACATTTGGTGGCTCGTGATCCATAAGGTTTATGATACTAGCAGTAGATGTCATTGTGGGGTGAGGTACTATGCTGTTTACTGGGCTGGCTCTGACTTTGCGATCTGAACTTACTATTTTTATATGTCATCAAGTCATCTGAAAGACGGTTAACTTTCTCCTCCAGCATTGAAAGTTTCTCCAAAATTGCCTCAAAACCTCCTCCTTGATTGAGATTGTTGTGACTATGTGGGGTCTGAGAAAAGGTATTCGTTGGCTTACCTCGCTTTGACAAAATAGCGTCACAGCATATTGCAGGTGAACTCAAAGGTTGAACCTCCTGAATCTTGTCCGCTGTAACTGCCAATGATTCGGTACTGACCCCAGCACCTAACTGGGTTTGCAGGATGCCTTGAATATGCGCAGGAAGTCGCTGCATCCAGATGATTCTCAGCAAGTCATCTTGAACGCTGCTGCCAGCTAACGATTTCAGTCTTCTGAGAAAGTGGGATGGTGTATCTGTCCCGAGTTCTTCTTCTACGAGTAACTGCTTAATCCTCTTATGTTCTGAGACTGATAATCTTCTTATCAGTTCTTCTTTCAGGCTCGTGTAAGGGTTTTCCAGATTTGGAATTGAGAGTAAATCCTCTATTTCGGAAGCAGTCATCTCATCTAAGTGTGTCACAACGTGTGTGAAACGAAGGTTCTCATAAAAAATGTGCCATAAAGAGAAAATTGCCTCAATCTGTATGAACCAAAGTGCTGGTTTCTCATGCCAAAAATGGGGAAATTTTAATTGTGGAGATTGAATTGAAGTTATGTTTTCAGACGGTCTTGGATTTACTGAATTGTTTCGTTCTTGAGTTTTCTGATTCATTGGATTAACCAAAAGATCTTCTTCTGAATCATGATTTATTCTTGAATGTTCAGAGTCAACTCCAATTACATCATTAAGTTGTTTTCTGAGATTTTGGTTTTGCTCTTCCATCAGTTTTAGTCTTGCCAATACATTGATTTCCATTATGTGTTCTTGATGTGTTCAAATCGGGGTCACCAATTTTAGTGAAAAGATCCTCATTTAAATAGGATAAATACTTTAAATAAAAGTCAAGAGGTTTCCACTAAATATTATTGTTTAATTTATCATACTTTTACAAGTAATATAACAATTAATTGTTTAGAGCAAATAAAAATGAACCACTTTGGTTGAAAAGCCTAAAAGAATGTCTCTTTGTTTATTTTTATTTTTTTTAGCAACCCAAAATTCAATAAGCTATTTAAAACATCTGTCAGCTGATAAATCTGTCAGTTCACTACACTGTATTTCAAATATTTGTTTTTGTCTTTTCTTAATAAATTATTTAATGAAAGGGTTAATTAATGACCATTAAATTATTAAGTGGAGAGAAATGGCAAAACTAAAATCTTCACTCCCTATAGGACCACTAAACCTTAATTTTAACACCTAAATCATTATTTTATTTTATCACAACACATTTTTTAGAAATTCTGTTACAAAGTTAACATTTCTTATGGGACTAAAATCCAATATGGCTACCAATGGTGAAGACTTATGAAAGTTGGATGTTCATTTTTTGAGGTTAATAATAGATAAGAGGATTATCTTTTGTGTAAACCTCACGCAGAAATTATCTAACCTTAATAGTAAAAAATAATATTTGTGTGTAGGTGTGCCATAGTGGTAGGTAGTAAACGGTAAACATATTTGTTTCATTTCAAAGCCAATAGCACATATCTCAAGTGGATCTGACTAAAAGTGTTCAATGAAAAGCGTTATAAAAACCCTTGTATACAGACGGTACTGAGTGTCATTTCACGCCGCAAAATGTGATTATAATGATTGGATAAAAAAAGTTGCATTCCGTGTATCCAAGTCAGAATCAAGTTTTGCATAAAAACTGTGCAGAAAAAACGTCCCTTAAAAGGGCTCAAAAAAGTTATTAAATTTGTTGATGCAGCATGCAATATTACCAGTAATTTTTCTACAAAATCAGCTGACAGGGCATGTATTGGCCATTGGGGTGATATTAGCAGTGAGGTCGGGGAGTGAGCTTGACAAGTTGAGTGGGGGGGGGGCAAACTTCGTTGCCTAGAGGCAGCAGATACTTAAATACGTCCCTGCTACAATGGAGGTTAGTATTGTATCAGAGGCACTATCATGTTATACAGTCACTCACACTCAGGTAGAGTTACTAGGGTCCAGATAAATCAGAGCTGTTATAACCTTACTAACCTTACTAAACAATTTGATAGAGTTGTATTTTGAAAGTAAAAATCTTATAGGCTATGGAGTTTAGCTACGTTTTTAGAATCCATTATAAATTCATCAGAGCAAAGTAAACTTACCTTGGGTGTTGTATTGAGCTCATTACGGCCATTTCCAGTAGAGCTTTATTATAAATGTTAAAGAAAAATTTGTCTTAATCACTAGGAACACTATAAGATGAATTTTTATAAACACGGCATTCCTCAGTACCAAGTCTTACAATAAAATATATGCTAAAAATAAGAATAAGGAGTATGAGGAAAATGTTGATAGACAAAAATGTGCTTCGGAAATTGGTATATTTGTGTTCACACTAGCCTCTACTATTTCAACTTTCTACACTTAAAAATGAATTATTTCTCCCCTAAAATTTAAAAAATTAGTAATGTTCAACTGAACCTCCTTCCCTACAAGGATACCTTACTCAAAAATAAAGCTTATCAATAGGTTTTTAGACTCTGTGATAACTTATGAAGCTATTAGTGAGAGAATTATGCTCTATATGACTTAAGGGAAAGTTTACAAATATTCCGATGATGAGTTCCCATGCCCCAACAGAATAAAGCAAAGATGATGAAAAAGTTTCATTCCATGCACAACTAGAAGAAATTTTTACCAAGTTACCAAATTACGATACCAAACTGGTGTTGGAGATGCTAATGCAAAGATAGGGAAAGCAAACTATATGCAATGTTTCAGGGCAGCACGGGTTTCACAATACTTCTAATGACAATAAATAAATAATAATTAAAAATGCCTTTATTTGCGAGCGTCTTTCAGTACAAGAACTGTTTTACAAAGTAACTCATGTTAATATAACTAACTTAAAAATATACAAAACACTGTGTATGCCAAAACAAAATTATAAGCTATTTACAATATTTTACATTTTTTTCACTTTTCTTTGAAAGCCAGGACCCCCAGCTGTTTTAGGTCCAAGGGGAGATCATTGTACATCTTTGGGCCAGAGTAAGAGAACCCTTTTTTACCACCTTCTAGGCTTACTTTTGGAATGTGGAGCAAGGCATTTTGCCGGGTCACACGTTGAGTCACCTCCCCACGTGCCACAAGCCTCTCCACCAAGTACTTAGGTTCTTGCTGAACCAAGACCCGGTGGATGAGGCTACAAGTCTGCGCCCTGCACACGGCACCCATTGACAGCAACCCCGCAGCATCCCGGAATGGGGATACGCGTTCCCGCTTACGGATACCGTAAACAAAACGAATTGCGGAGTTCTGCACTTTTTGCAATCGGGACATCTCTTCCCTAGAGATGCTGTTGCCGTATGCAGGAAAACAGTAATGGAGCACTGACAACACTAGTGACTGTACCAGCTGCAGCTTAGCTGTCTCTGGCAGGATGTTTTTGTACCGGTACAGACCACGCAGCCTTCCCAAAGCCACCTGGGAGACATAAGTGATGTGGTCCGAGAAAGTGAGGCCACTGTCGAGTACCACACCCAAGGTCTTGACGGTATCCCTCGCCATTAGAGGTTTTCCTGCGATTTGAACGTGCATGTCTCTATTTGCAACTCTGTGAAGAGTAGTGGGTGTAGCAATATGAAGAATCATGCATTTTTCAGAGTTCAATTTTAAACCATGTTTGCGTGACCACTCACTTATTCTCACCAGATGCTGACTACGGTAGCAGTGGCTTGCAGTACTAGACTTTCTATTGTTCTGTTCTTTACGTGATTTATTGCTCTACGTACAGTGTTGTGTAATTTTTGTTTTGCTTGAGTAGGCTTGATTTTAAACGTTATAGTTTTTATTACTGAACCAAGGTTATTGAATTAACATATCACGATTGCGCAATAGTATTATTTGTATTTTGATTATGTAAAATGCACTACATCCGGTTAGTCCGGCCGTTTTGTAGTTCGGCCAGTGGTCCGGTCCCGAGGTGGCCTAACTAGAGGGAGTCTACTGTATGGGAAATTTGCTAAAAGAGGATTATGAATTAAGCAACAGAAAACATTTGTTTGGATGAGAGGAAAAAAAGTAGTTTCAAGTAAATTTGCCAACAGGTTGGATGCCCTAGCGTAGAGATAAATTAAATATTGGGGGAGACGTGGACATGGCGGAGGACAGAGGAGTCTGGAGGCAACTTGTTGGCGAGGCCAAAAACCAACTTGTAACCTATTTCAGTAGTGTCAGGAGTAAATTAGTAAGAGAGTAGCCTAATTGAAAATCTGAAGAAAAAAAGTTAAAAAATAAGCTACACCAATACATAGAGTGGTGGGAATTGGGAGCTACAAAATAGGGACACATCACATCAATAGTTGTAAAGGATACGTTTTGCTACCCGTTGGTGTTCTATAAGCGGTGGATTTGAATGGAGTGGTGACTTGACGGGAGTTAGAACTAACATTATTTTTTCCCAACTCTTTTCTTTCAAACTGTGACAGTGCTTCCTCGGTGGGTGCAGCTCCATCAAGATTGGTGACGGAGTAGGCTGCCCACGATTCAACAAATTCTTCATCATCTATGTTGTGTAGAACACACATTTCAACACCTATTGGAAGAAAAAATCAAGTTAGCCTAAATCAGTCAGCCAAAGATAAATCTATATCTTACACATTCTTTAGTTTTTCAGAGTACCTATCTACAAAGGTTGTCCCTAAATTGAGCTCTCCAGTGAGCTTTTATCGCCACCGAGCGTCATGTTTATTACTTCTTCCACTAATGTACAAGGCCCATTTGTTTCTACCCCCATGTGACAAAAAGAGGTAGCCAAAAACAAGGTGAAGGAAAATCACCTTCTGTGATTAGATTTCTGTGGTTTAAGTCATCAACCGCTATTAAAGTCAATTAGTAATGAACATGAATGAAGTGAAGTGGTTGGACAAGGAACATTTGCGTAAAGAGTAGTGATGTGCGATTCTGATTTGATAGGCTGTATAATAATTAAGTAGCAGGAGACCGAGCATTGCTCATGGTGCTTAAATTTTTTAAGACGTTAAAAAAGTAACATAAACAATGTTTTTGACATTAAATACAGTCTAAAATATGTAATAAAACAAATGGTAATACATAAGATTTTATAATAATCAGATTCTGATTTGATAGGCTGTATAATCTTATCTTACTAATATTCAATCTTATGAGTATTCATATTCAAAAGGAACAAGAGGTTCTACCCGCGAATTCACTGGTGTACAGAAGCCACCATTAAATTAATTTAATCAACTTTGACTTTATATTTCATTTAAAGGGCCCAAGTTCAAAAAAACTTTCATCTGAAAGGATGTTAAAAGCAGTGGAACCTTCATACCTTACGTCCTAAGGTGGCCGAGGTGGGTACGGTTGTACCTAAACTCGCCGCTCTTTCACAACGTCTTTAATACTTTTCAATGAAATGGCGACCCGTTAAAGATCGGCGACAACCTCTTGGAACGAACAACATACATGGTTTGTTAATCTCATATTTATTGTGTTTTAAACACCTTTAATCACTCACTTGTATTAAACAGCTAGAAATACCTTCACTATCCATTCACCGCACCTCTTTTAAGATCATAAAAGTAAATAATAAAATAAGTAAACAAAAATGTAAACAAACAAACTATACATTGTCAATTGCATTGGCCAGCTGTTGTTCACTAAATTAATCAAATAACGTTAACTTCCAAAACATGCAAGGCCCTTTGGAAATTAGCCTGTGGGGCAGAGCCCTAAGGGAGTTTGTCCATATCAATACTTTTCGGCAAATCTACACACTCTTAGCTTCATTTTCATATGCCATATGCCTATATTTTTATCTGGTAAATGTCCTAAACCGTTTACATAAAATTTGATTGTATCACTTTAATAATATAAGTAGGTAATAGATTAAAGAATTTAGTCAGCTGTTTCAACTTTACAAGTTGGTTCTATAATATGCAATAGCATTTAAATGTTATAAGGTTCCCCAACAGGGTGCAGCACTATTATTATTTTGTTTTTATTATGGCAACAGCTAATTTGAACGCAGCGACAAAAAGCTGTGATACACAATGAGAACTGTCAAAATAGGATTGTTTACAGTTAGGCCTATGTTTATGTTTTTAATTTAATGAATAATTCGTGATATTGTGCTAATGTTCGGTCATTTATTTTTCTCTAATGTCTAGGTGCAGGGGTAGAAATTTCTATTTTAACTTACTATAAGTAAACTTTAATTTCTTGGGGGGGGAACACTGAGTAGAGTTAAAGTTTAGCAAAATAAACAAAGTTACTGGTACCTAACTTAAGATAAGATTGACACCTGATGAGGTATGGGCTATCTAGCCCTGAGACCGAAACAGATGATATCGTTATGCGTATAATCGCACCTTTTACGTTGCAAGAGTGATTCCGCCACTAGGGCGTCTTTTCGCACGTATAACCCCAAGAACGAGTTTCGTGACCAATACATCTAACCTGCAAAATTAATTTAGAATTTTAGAAGGTTGCGAAGCCAAACACTTGCACCTAATGTTACAAGTCACTCAAAATTATTAATTGGTTAAAGTGATTGTGACAGGTGATGTAGTTGCAAATCCAGCGGAGCTGGTCAGTCTTCTCAATCAGACTGCAATTTTAGAATCACTGATATCATCAAACAGTAGCACGTTTAGGCTCGTGGACACAATTCGTGTATGGCGGCATCTGCCTGACCGGCGATCGTGAGGGTTCCCACAGCGTTAAGCTTTATGTGGTTGATAGCTGCAATTAAGATCAGCGTTGCCCTACGTCTCTTAACCCGGATACGCGTGATATTGTTCCCGTTCTGACTAGCGCTCAATTACAGGTTATCATTTTAGAAGGTAAATGGGGACGAACCCCTTGCCAATTTAAGAATTACATTCACTCAGAATGTATCTTTTAAATCTCAATACCAAATCCCGACCTCTCCGAGCATCGGAATCGTCACACATACCGTCTCGGGTGTGACCGATCCATGTGTAGTGTGTGGTTTGAGGATTCAAAATTTGATTGAGCCTGCGCTAAGTCAAATACGACTATCCGCCTTTAAGGATAGAAGTGTGCTCTGTTGTTTCGACTTTGTTTAGTCTCTTCAGTGGTAGATAGGTCCGAAGACCACTACCAGACAACAGTAATTGTGATTTGCGTGGAACGTGTTCATTACGAGATTCCAGCATTCACTGGGCAGTACGAGCGTTCGACTCGCTTTTACAAACTCTGTGTGACAGTGGAAGAATTTAGCAATCCACAATGTCAAGAGTGCCCTACTTTTCAAGATTTCACAGAGACTATGTATATTATTAATTATACCTCAATTAAGTTTAAAATGACTTTGATTAGTCATATCGAAATTCAGAAATGTCTACTAGAGACAGCTGAAATTGGGTTCCAGATTCCAGGAACCAATCAGCATGCGATGACAGATTTCAGTCATCCAAAGGCACTGGACGTGAAAACAAATAAACATCAAAATTGATGAGTCCGTCCACAATAATTTAAGAACAATGAGTAAATACTCAGGTGTGCCTGGTCAACTCTAAGTTGACAATTTCATCTTTTCAAAATTTAGAAACATCAAAATTCAAAATTTCAGTTGGACGATGAAAAATTTAATCTGTCCTTAACACATTATAATTCAATCTGTCGTGCACTAAAGTGTGCACCTGATGAGGTATGGGCTATCTAGCCCTGAGACCGAAACAGATGATATCGTTATGCGTATAATCGCACCTTTTACGTTGCAAGAGTGATTCCGCCACTAGGGCGTCTTTTCGCACGTATAACCCCAAGAACGAGTTTCGTGACCAATACATCTAACCTGCAAAATTAATTTAGAATTTTAGAAGGTTGCGAAGCCAAACACTTGCACCTAATGTTACAAGTCACTCAAAATTATTAATTGGTTAAAGTGATTGTGACAGGTGATGTAGTTGCAAATCCAGCGGAGCTGGTCAGTCTTCTCAATCAGACTGCAATTTTAGAATCACTGATATCATCAAACAGTAGCACGTTTAGGCTCGTGGACACAATTCGTGTATGGCGGCATCTGCCTGACCGGCGATCGTGAGGGTTCCCACAGCGTTAAGCTTTATGTGGTTGATAGCTGCAATTAAGATCAGCGTTGCCCTACGTCTCTTAACCCGGATACGCGTGATATTGTTCCCGTTCTGACTAGCGCTCAATTACAGGTTATCATTTTAGAAGGTAAATGGGGACGAACCCCTTGCCAATTTAAGAATTACATTCACTCAGAATGTATCTTTTAAATCTCAATACCAAATCCCGACCTCTCCGAGCATCGGAATCGTCACACATACCGTCTCGGGTGTGACCGATCCATGTGTAGTGTGTGGTTTGAGGATTCAAAATTTGATTGAGCCTGCGCTAAGTCAAATACGACTATCCGCCTTTAAGGATAGAAGTGTGCTCTGTTGTTTCGACTTTGTTTAGTCTCTTCAGTGGTAGATAGGTCCGAAGACCACTACCAGACAACAGTAATTGTGATTTGCGTGGAACGTGTTCATTACGAGATTCCAGCATTCACTGGGCAGTACGAGCGTTCGACTCGCTTTTACAAACTCTGTGTGACAGTGGAAGAATTTAGCAATCCACAATGTCAAGAGTGCCCTACTTTTCAAGATTTCACAGAGACTATGTATATTATTAATTATACCTCAATTAAGTTTAAAATGACTTTGATTAGTCATATCGAAATTCAGAAATGTCTACTAGAGACAGCTGAAATTGGGTTCCAGATTCCAGGAACCAATCAGCATGCGATGACAGATTTCAGTCATCCAAAGGCACTGGACGTGAAAACAAATAAACATCAAAATTGATGAGTCCGTCCACAATAATTTAAGAACAATGAGTAAATACTCAGGTGTGCCTGGTCAACTCTAAGTTGACAATTTCATCTTTTCAAAATTTAGAAACATCAAAATTCAAAATTTCAGTTGGACGATGAAAAATTTAATCTGTCCTTAACACATTATAATTCAATCTGTCGTGCACTAAAGTGTGCACCTGATGAGGTATGGGCTATCTAGCCCTGAGACCGAAACAGATGATATCGTTATGCGTATAATCGCACCTTTTACGTTGCAAGAGTGATTCCGCCACTAGGGCGTCTTTTCGCACGTATAACCCCAAGAACGAGTTTCGTGACCAATACATCTAACCTGCAAAATTAATTTAGAATTTTAGAAGGTTGCGAAGCCAAACACTTGCACCTAATGTTACAAGTCACTCAAAATTATTAATTGGTTAAAGTGATTGTGACAGGTGATGTAGTTGCAAATCCAGCGGAGCTGGTCAGTCTTCTCAATCAGACTGCAATTTTAGAATCACTGATATCATCAAACAGTAGCACGTTTAGGCTCGTGGACACAATTCGTGTATGGCGGCATCTGCCTGACCGGCGATCGTGAGGGTTCCCACAGCGTTAAGCTTTATGTGGTTGATAGCTGCAATTAAGATCAGCGTTGCCCTACGTCTCTTAACCCGGATACGCGTGATATTGTTCCCGTTCTGACTAGCGCTCAATTACAGGTTATCATTTTAGAAGGT